AATGTTCGTCTGCTGATTTTAGGTGAATTTGACGAATTAGGAAGTAGCTGCGTCCAGATGAACAAAAGCAACTTTTTTGAGATTTCAGATTTCCTTAAGTGGATTATTGAGCATGCATTAAGACGTGGCCCGTCTTCATTATTCTTTCCACTTTGTATAATGTACCACTGGCACCAAAACAGCTGCAGATCATAAACTACCACCCCCATGCTTGATGATAGAGTGTTCTTGGGTTTAAAAGTCTCCCCTTCACACCTCCAAACATACCTCTTTGCAAAATACTATTTTTAATTTTTAATCCTCTCATTCTAAAAAGTAATCAGTGTATAAAGCATCAAACTACTTTTTTGCAAATGTTATATTGTAACTTGTATTCTTACTGAGATTAAACATGTAAGTTGCAAAAGGTGTCCACTGAATTCACAGACTGAGTTAATTTAATCATCCAAACATTTCAACAAAACTTTCCAGTAGAAATGAACTTTTTTTTTTTTTAAATCCCATCTTTTGCCCTGTAAATTTCAGTCCAGTCATATGTGGAAGAGGAGGAGCCCAAGAGGAAGTCTATCCTCTATCAGGACCTGAGGCTCAAAAACAGAGAGAACTATGAGGTCACACTCACTCAGAAAGCTGACGCATTGCTCAAAACACCACCTGCAAAAGAGCCAGAAAGACCCAAGAAAGATGGTAGGTGGTTACTGCTAAGGCATATATAGAACTTGATATATACTTTTTTTCCTTCCTTGGCCAAACTAGATGGAAGATAACCAACATTATAGAACTTTATGTTTGTGTCTCTAAAGTGGTGTCTTACAGAGGTTCAAAGTTAGCTGTTAAAGGAGTTGCTTCATAGTCTATAATTCTGTAAGTTAGCATTAAATGACACAATTAAATTATAGCAACAGCTGAGAGAAAAAAAATCTTATAGAATTCAAGGAAGTAAAATGTACAAAACCAAATGTCTGGAAGTCCATCAAAGAAGAAAACCTTATTTAGTCGTGGCAGCAGAATCCTATTCCTGTGATGCGCCTGCATCTATATAGTGAACAAGCAGAGGAGCAACTGGCATGGAAACAAATAGTAGGGAGGGAGAAATTTGACGTCATTACTGCCTTTTATTATAATTCAAGATGCAGTGTGGATTGCACCTTACAGGAGGACTAGGATAATTTCCTTAAAAAATGGTGGTGGATAGATAGAGGCCGATTTGCAAGTACAGCCTGTCTTTTAAGTAATTTGTAAAATAATTTGCATTTCTCCTTCTGTCTCTGTACAGTGAAGAAGAACATCTATGGAGACGCTTGGGAGGAATGAGTCCTTTGGTGAAAATAAGATGTGATCAGTATTCGAGTGTCACTTATTGTACAGGACACGGGCTTTTCAGTGGTCACTTTTCATGATGTACAAGATTATGATAATTTTGTCTTTTAAGTATTAATAAAACCAAACAGTTTCAGGTCTTGGTGCTCTGTGTTTTCACACTAATGTGACTTTATCAAAAAATTTTCTATTAACTAGGATAAAGGCAAAGGTTCAAAACAAAAAACCCTGGAGGTGCATTTGACTTGTTTGAACTTGCATCCAGAGTTTAAGACGCTTTCCTAACCTGCAGTTGTTACAATGATTTAAGCACTGTTGTAATTGCATCATGTTTAATACCATGGTGCAAGTATAACAGGGAGTTTAATAGTGAAAGAGAAACTTCTGTTTTACTCATCACAGAGGCCTTTAATTTAGGCGTAAATATGACAATTTAACTTGCAGAGAAATGGACCAAAACCACCAAGGAAACCACTCTCTAAACCTAATCAGTGAAATTTGTTTGGACTGTTTGTCTAGATGCAACACAGAAAGTGGAGTACATCCTGCTGACACCAAATTCAGATAATCAGACAAAAAAAGAAAAAAAGAAAGATACAGTGCTTAGCAATTTTACTAGATCACCAACTAGCGTAAGGATTACGCAGCAGCTCCCATAAATTAATAGCACTGGCATAAAAATCATATTTGGTGTTATTTGGTTATTCCACCAGTATGTGCAAACATTTTAATCAAAATATATTTAATGCTAAAATATAGTTATCCATGAATTTTCAAATGTACTTTTACAAAAACTGGTAAAGCACATTATTGCTTTCTTGATGCCAAATTGCAATTATTTACATGCATTTCTTACCAGGAACATAAATAGTTGAATTTGGTGGTCTAATAAAATAAGCTTTTTAATACTACCATAAAAAGATTGGAATATTTTAAGAAATACTGGGAAAACATGACTGCTCCAACAACACTGCACACTGGTTATTAGTTATACTTGATTGTCATTTTTCTTATGGGTTGACCATGCAGTTAATACAGCCCTAGGGCTGTATTAACTGCATGGTCTGTATTGTTACTTCTGTGCATCAATTCTGGTTTCCAATTTGTAAGAAAGAGATTAGAAGGTTTTTATTTAATTTTTAATTAGTAGGAATAAAAATATAGAAAATTGGAATTTTTAAAAATGACAAGTCACCAGAAATATTTGAACTTTCAAAAAAAAAACTACAATTATTTATACAAGCAGGCAGAAACAATCAGTGCTGAGATGCTGCAGGATCTTATAGATGATAAAAACTGAGTAGCTTTTATAGGATAAGCCTTCATAAGTGGATCCTTGCCAAGGCAAACTCATCTGAAAACATCTACTCTTGTAACAGTGATCCTCCGCTCTTATGGCCATGGCTATGACCATGACTGTGACCGTGGCCATGGCTGTGACTGTGGTTGCAGCTGTGGTCGAAACTCTGTGGTGAAAAGTGTCCAGAGCTGTGTCCTGCAACATGTCCATGAAGACTAAGAGGTGGTGTGGGACTCGCCTGGTGTGGCCAGCCTTCATAAGTCATGGCAGCAGTGTTGGCAGTGGGTAATGGAGCATAAGCTTGCACTGGGTAAGACCCAGGTGTGGGATTGATCTGTGGAAGCAAGGTCTTCTTCCTGTCCTCGGAGGAAGCTGGGATGAACATATCACCGCTGACGGTCCTGAACAGCCTGAAAGGCAACAACTTCTCCAGAACTCCAGCCTTTGCCTCAGACATGTCCAGAAAAGAGACCCATCCTTTACCGTACATCACCCCAACCAGGATGGCAATCACATTACAGGGCAGCACACAGTAAGGGACCAGAGCAGTGGTGATGACAAGGAACACCCAAGGAAGGGCCATAGTGGGAAAACTCACTCCACATAGAAAGGCTTTAGTCATCTTTGTGTGCATGGTAGTTATAGCCACAGAGGCAAGAGTGACGGGAACCAACCCCTCAGTGTGACCCTGGAAGCCGTCCTCCTGCAGGAGATCCATGAAGCTGTAAAACAAGCCTATGATCGAGGACAGCAGGAGGAACAGAAAGAGGAAACGGACCGTCCCCACACCTTTCTCCAAGCTCCCGCTGAGAAACACCAAAGTTGTGATGTTCAGAAGAAGCTGAGCAAAGGTTCGGTGGTAAAAGGGAAACATCAGGATGCAGTATAGGTGTCCGTTTTGAAAAACACTTGCGCCGATGCTGAAGATGCCTTGTTTTAAGCTCAAACATGTTTGGATTGCAAATAAAACACACGATATGATGCTCACTGTGACAATCCCGCTGGTGAAAGCTGGAACAATATCTTTGATAATTTTGCAGATCATCTTAATATGCTCAGTGAGAGCCATTTCATCATCCAACTCAGGATATCCACGATCAATGAGCTAAATAGAAGTTGAGCAAGACTTGCCGAACTGCTTCATCGATGTCTTCACTTCCTAAAGAGGAAGAAGTGCCATTTCCGGGATGTTTCGAGCCGAAGGCTTCTGTAACCTTCTCAGGATGTTTCCTTTTTGATGGATAAAAATGGCGTGCAGTCTGTGATGCAATATATCGATAAAAAGCACACCAAATTAACTTACTGTACAAACATCTAGCTAGGTATGAATCAGGGCGGCTAGCATGGGTAATAAGAAAACTTCTCGGTAAACCTTTCAAAATAAGTTTCCCTCTAATTTATTTTAGTAAAAACATGTATGTTCTAAGATTTAACCAACGACATTCAAGTCATATTTTGAAAAAGACTTTGCTCAGCTTCCGGTTTTAACTGCCCATCCTCTAGCTATCATTCACACCTCTGCGCCTTCTGCTCAAAGTGAAGAGATGCACTTTTTTCTTTACCACAAGTATTTGTACAGGTTTATGATACTTCAATAATCTTCATACAACAACATGCAAGACTCCTAAATAGTTGGGAGATTGAGTATGCATCAAGACACCATATTAGTCTGTGAAACACCGACTGAAAAGCTCAATAGTTTATAAAGGTTTTTAAAATGACATAAAACTGCCAGTGATTAAATGCTACAGTCAATAATTATGAAAACTATAAATAATAATAACTCAGTTCAAAGAGCATGAAGGAAACTTAATGCAATACTTCAGTTCTCCCTTTGTTCTCCCTTTGTAGCAAGTGAGACAAATATTTTTTGCCATTTGAACCTCTCACACGCATCAGTGCGTCAAATTGTGATAACTCTGATTTTTTAAATAAAATGTGCTGTGGAATATCAGTATCACTAGACAGCAGTGAATGTCATTCCACAGATAGATGCCTTCAAAAACATCTATCTATGGAATGACCTGGGATTTTTACAGATATCCATCTTCCTGGGTTAGTACATTGCAGAGAGCTGTAATTGAATACTTGTTTACAAATATTTCTCGAATTAGTTTTACATATTTTATATATTGTTATTTCATATAGTGGCCTTCGTTGTTTAACTGTGAATTGTGCTGTTCTTGGTGTTTTTCTGTACATCTGTCCATTCCTCAATTACACCTCTATGAAAAGTGCATCCAAACAAAATGGATTGCTATCATATTTTATTTTATTTAACAAAAAGTACATATAAAAATTACACGCGACACCAAAGCCTTGTTTTGTGAATCGGCTTGTTAAAAAAAAGTCTGAAAAGAAGTCTGTCCCTCTTCCGGTGTCGTACGGTTACTGCGGCGGATGTTGATGTTTTGTTTCAGAGATCTCAGAACGATGTGAAACTGTATCGTCTCCGGGACTGCTCGATATTTTTGTGGCCGTCTTCCCCGATACTTTTTGTCCTATTTCTCTGTAAGGTTTCGCTGTTTGTCGGCATCGTGTCTCTCCCGGTGTCTGTCCCGGGAAGCGCGAGGCCGAGTCGTGCGATGATGGAGGACTTTGATGAGATCTACGAAGAGGAGGAGGAGGAAGAGGAGGACGAGGACAGGGCCGCGGAAGAACAGCTCCTTAAGTACGCTCCGGACCCGGTAGTGGTGCGAGGGTCCGGTCACGTAACTGTGTAAGGAACTGACAGAGCTCACGGGGGTCTACAAAACAGTTTAACGTTACTGTAAAATGCGGCGGCTAACACAGCTTTCCGTGGGTAACCGGTGGCTAGCTGCGTTAGCTGCCGCTGTCTGGCTTAGCCTAGCTAGTTAGCTTCTAACTTAGCAGCAAGCTAACTAACCGAGAAGTGAATGATCGGGTCTAGCTACAGATAAATTTGACCTTTCTTGATATTTTTTTATTGTAGCTATTGTCAAGTTGTGACAATGTGTTCCCATCACTGGTTTCATTTTTCTGAAGTTAAGTACAGACTTCCAGAGCTGTTTATACCGATCATTACAACACAAGACAGTACTGTGTCCGTAAATAGGTATTCTCACAATTAAAGCTAGTAATAATTAACCTACCATATCTTGAGTAAAGAAATTGTATTCTTAAGTAGTTGACTGTACTGAGAGTAGAGCTTTTTTCCAAACAAGTATACGCTTAACTTGTTTTTTCCGCTTATCTTACCTTGTCTCTTCAAAAAAAAAATAGAATAGAAGAATAGAATAGAATAGAATAGCCTTTATTGTCATTGTACAGAGTACAACGAAATTGGAGTGCCACTCCCTTGGTGCAAGTTTCAATAATAAATATAAATGTAAAATATAAAAAGTACAAAAAAAACAATCGTAAGTACTCAAACAATAGTATGTACAATATATACAGGATAGCAGCATAATATAATGACAGTATGAATAGCAGCATAATATAATGACAGTGACGGTATGGAATAGGTTCAATTGTTTTTGTGCTTATTTACTACGGTGGTAGCTCTGGGAAAGAAGCTATCCCTGAATCTGTTTGTCCTGGTTTTATGTGACCTGTACCGTCGGCCTGATGGTAATAGTTCAAACAGTTGGTTGCTGGGGTGAGAGTGGTCCTTGATGATATTGCCAGCTCTGCTGAGGTACCGAGAGTTTGCAGTGACCTCCAGGCTGGGCAGAGAGCAGCCAGTGATCTTCTGGGCTGTGTTGATGACCCTCTGCAGTACTTTCCTGTCTGCAGCTGAGCACCCTGCATACCATGTTGTTATGCCGTACGTTAGGATGCTCTCTATGGTGGCTCTGTAAAATGTCACCAGCAGCCTCTCCTCCAGGTTGTTCCTCCTGAGCACTCTCAGAAAGTGGAGACGCTGCTGGGCCTTTTTAACCACCGCTGTAGTATTTGCAGTCCAGGAGAGGTCATCAGATATCTGCACGCCCAGAAACCTCATGGAGTGTACCCTCTCCACACAGCTCCCGTGAATGTAAAGTGGGGACGGGTCTGCTCTGCCCTTCCTGAAGTCCAAGATAAGTTCTTTAGTTTTCGTGGTGTTCAGTTGGAGGTTGTTAACTGAACACCACTCAGTCAGTCTGTTGACCTCATCTCTGTAGTCCGACTCATCCCCCCTTGAGATGAGTCCAACCACTGTGGTGTCATCCGCGAACTTTATGATGGTGTTTGAGAGTTGGGGAAGAGTATCAAGCGTACAAATACTAAGAATAAAGACGGGAAAGGGTTAAAGGTTGCAGTTTGTTAAAGTTTTGTGCCTTGAATGGATAAATATACCTCTGTATTTCAGCCAGTTTACATTTGTGGATTTAAAAGTTGGGTTTTTGGTTGTTGTTTTTTTTAAATGTCCAGTTCAGTTGGGTGGAAATGAGCTTACAGTTGAGTTACCTCCAAACATAAATCTGTGTCCTTACTGTTTTGGGGAGTTTAACCTACTGGTACTGTTTCTTTAATTTAACAGTGCCTCACATTCATTCTCACAGTGTTTTACACTACGCTGCTCTTTGCGTTGAACATTAGATTTGTTTGTGTAATTCAAAATTAACAGTGACGGAAGCTAAATAAGCAGGTCTGTGTGATAGTACACAGATGTATGGGATGTTTGAACTGTGTATTATACATTATCTTTGAATGTTTTAGATGAATTATAAAATTAATTATTTTTGTTCTGATAAAGTAAATAGCTTCTCTTTGCTGTGGGTCTCAGAAAGATGTTGTGATGTAATTTTTAATTTCTGCACTAAAAGTATATTAAATCTCTAATAGTGGTTCATGTCTGATACAGTTTCATCTTTAATGTTGTAAGTAAAAATGTAATTTTTTACCTACTTTCAGGTTTGGACTCAGTAACAAATTCGAGTCAGAATTTCCTTCAGCACTTACAGGAAAGGTGAGTGTGTTGTTTTTATTGAAAGCAAACCATGACTGTGGGATTTAGATCAGAATCAACATGTAGTGCGTCATTTAAATTAATTTCTTTCCTCTTTTTTTTTTTTTTTGTATGAAATACAGATATTTGATCCACATTTAATGGTGCTAAAAGTGTGAATATACATACTTTTAATAATAAAAGTAATACTGTGTGCTTCCCTTAGGTGGCACCAGAGGAATTCAAAGCCAGTATCAATCGTGTGAACAGCTGCCTAAGAAAGACGCTCCCGGTGAATGTGCGGTGGCTTCTGTGTGGTTGTCTTTGCTGCTGTTGCACACTGGGCTTCAGTTTGTGGCCCGTCATCTGCCTCAGCAAAAGGGTGAGATGCCCATTCACTTCGTCCATTCACTTCGTCCATTCACTTCGTCCCACAGTTAGAAAATGTTACGCATTTGTTGCGTAACATTTGTTGCTTCACAGCATCACAGTGAACACAACAAAAAATGTTGTGCCCTAAGTTGATATGAGGCCGTTTTTTTCACAACAGTATCATCTAATATCTTTTTCCAGACAAGAAGATCTATAGAGAAACTTTTGGAGTGGGAAAACAGCAGACTTTACCACAAGGTAAGCAATGAAGGCATCATTTGAAATGTGTGGGTTGATGAAACTTATCTAATCTTCTATAATCACTGTTTCTGTGTAGTTGTGTTTGCATTGGAGACTAAGCAAAAGGAAGTGTGAAACCAACAACATGATGGAATATGTAAGTATTAGCTCTTTTCAGTGGTGCAATTATCCCAGTACAGTTAATGAAAGTATACTAGGTGTTACACCCACTACCAGATTGCGTTAAAAAGCTGCTGTTTTAACTCAAAAGGTACTATTTTAGATGATAAATTGTGCCGAGGGTTGGTTTGTGGTTGTTCATGTAGTTACAGGTTTATCGCTGCACCATGGAAAAGTATCATATCTCCAACCTTTTTGAGCGCAGATGTTAAGAAGTTATTGTATCTGCAGTGTATGCTTGCATGTCTTTGATCGATTAGTGTAGCGCATAGTGGCTGAGTTACTCCAAAAGAAAGGGGTAAAAAAAATATTACAAATTAGTTTAACCTACTAGTATTAGCGTTTCTTATTACTGACATTAGCAATTTTGTGTCATGGTGTCTGGGCTTTTATATACAGATGTTGTTTATCCAGCCAGCTTTCAGCTACTTCATCCGATTCTGTGCCAGTTTAATTGTGTTTAGAAGAGGCTGACATGCTCCTCTAAATATAAACGCAGCATATTGATTCTTGTAAAGATACACAAAATGTAATATTCTGTGGTTGTTATCTGTTAATATATCTGGCTTCCTCATAATGCTAACACAATAGCCATTTATCCATCAGCCAGTTCCTCTTTTTCATAGTTTTGCGTATAGCCACGGTCAGCCTGCTTTTTTTTTTGTTTTTTTTTGTTTTTTTTTGTATTTCAGAAAAAGTAACTTTAGCACGATCTGCTTAGTTAAGTTGGTACTCAGACGTAAACAAATAGGCTTGCACAGGTTTGCATCTGTGACCCAGTTAGATGTGAGATGGTGGCTGCTTTGATATAAACGCTGTGGCCAAACCTCTCCAAGTGAAGTGAGTTTTTTTTCCATCAGTACGTACTCGGGTCGGCTCAGCACAGCCTGACATGGTTATTAGGGTTTTTCATTAGATGATAGTACCTGTTACCAGGTACTTTTAAAAGTACCTGTTACACAGAAACAACATCGTGGTGCCCGTGTCTAATGAAAAGCCATAGACAGAGCAGCAGGTACGTGTCAAGTCGATCCAAGGAGGTACTAATTGGGGGGGCTTAAATCTTGTTGAAACATCCCTGACTCACTACTGAGAGCCTTTTGTTCTATTCCCTGCAGGTAATCCTAATAGAATTCCTACCTAAGGTCCCGATCTTCAGACCGGACTAGCCTGACTACAGCTGATCTGAAACTTCTTCTGCTGCCTGCCGCTGTCACAGAATCATGATGGCTGTAAAGTTCCCAAATTATTACGGTTCCTTAAATACTCCAGCATTTATGTTGACATTTATTCTCCCTGTTTTCTCTTGGATCCATTCCCTATAACATATCTACAGCCTTGTTTACAAATCCAGCAGCCCCATACTTTTTTTTTTGGGGGGGGGGTGACATCACCATTGAACCTTGGCCAGCTGGGCAAACCTATATCAGCCTATGGGATGTGAGGGGAGAACCAGCCGTGGACAATTTTCTTGATCTTTGGAACTATACCTGGAGACTAGACTCTCACATTGAGTTCTGCGAGCCACGACTGGAAATTTGTCATTTTTATGTTTCCTAACCGAAGCACATGGCACAGACAGACCATGATTAAAAAATATATCAATCAATAAAACACTTTCATATGTTACACCACCAACTTCACCTGCAAAAAGTACACGCCAGTGCATTTGTAACAGTTGGTTTGGTGCTTTCGATTTGTTAAAGGCAGAGGAAGCAACGCAACACTGAACTTCAAAACAGCCTTCATCCAAATCAACGCTGTAGCGGAACGTGGGGGTCCTGCGGGAACATGTTGGGCCAGTGGCAAAAACAGCTGAACTCAGTGTCACTATTCAAATACCAGGCATCCTCTTGCCTCTTTTCACGTCACTTCACTGTGCATCAACCTAACCCAGTGACAATCACACACTTTGACTGTACTGTATGAATGGGTCTTTATGCTACACAGGCTACGTGGAACAGTTTGTTTTAAACGTGTGTCCAGGTGGTGGGCTGACTCTTGAAGAGACGGCCACCGGTGTTAAAGAAAAGCTTTTTTTTTTTTCTTCTTCTTCTTTGTTTTTATTATTTGAAGGTTTGTTTTCTGTTTTGTTGAAAGAAAAGACGGACAATGCTTGCAAAACTTTTATGTGTGTCAAACATAAGCAAAAAAAATAACCGAAATTGGACAAATCAAACAGAGGATACTCTTCTTTGGTAATGGAAAAAAAATACTTCAATCTTTTAGTTTAAGTAATTTATAAATGTGAGCGTGCATTGATGAAATAAGCATCTTTTGTGTAACTGCAAAGGAATGCCTTGGTTGTTTTATTTCTCTCTGGGGTCTTGTGTCGTGACTAAAGCACACAATCGCTGTACATAAGAGAGGCCAAGTAAAGGTGTTGATTATCTGCTGACCTTGGCTTACTCGTGTCTAGAGGATGTGGATGTGTACAAGGCAGATATTCTGTTTTAGATGTAAACTTACTCGAGATGAGCATAAAGAATAAGAGTTCACCTTGTGAGGTGTTATGTGGTACAAGTGATCTGTGTCATGAAGCAGGATTTGGGCGTTCAATATAGTATGGGGAAACTCAAACAATCAACAAGGAAATGAAGCAAGTCTAATATGTGTAAAGAAGTTTTCAGCCCTACTCTGTTCTATGAGGTGTCTTCCAGTTTGAACCAGTTGTTTTCAGAAAAAAAGCTCAGACTCTACACAGTCTGCTAATATGTAAACATGCCGCTCTTTCCAGCAGAAGTTAGTGAACACCAGTAACAGACCTCAAAGGGAAGTAACAAAATGCACTCCGTATAGTAGTAAAGTGTGTCTAATTTGATTGCAGTTTTTCCAAAGACTTCTATAGAACCTGAACTCTTTTTTTGTTTGTTTTTTGGGTTTTTTTTTAATCACAACTGAGTGCAAGTATTGGCTCTTCCACATTGGCTTCATTTTTTTTTCAGGTCTTGGAGCCATGTCCATTTTTTATATCATCTATAGTTATCAGCTAGCCTGACAAGCAAGGGGCATTTATAGGCCATATTTAGCAGAAATAACTGCTAAATAATAGGCAGTTATTATTTTTCGCGTAAATCCATTAAAAGCAACCTAAAAAGGTTTGAGTGCCGCAAACATGGTTAAAAGGTCTTTTGGAGCCTGCCTCAGGTGGTCACATGAGGAGCTGCAGCCGGTGGCAGTTCGATGTTAGCAGGATTTTTTAGCCCCAGAGAAGTCCACTTTGTTATAAAATGTTGATTATGAAGCCTTGTTTCTGAGTGAGTTATTTAGCCTGTAATCCTACTTCATGATGGTTACTTCAACAAATGTTTCCATGTCACAGATCAAAACGTGAAGCACATCACAAATCTTGCATATGTTTGACATTGACAAAGAGAGGAACAGATGGAAATCTGAAAGAAGGCCTTTTTGAGTAGATTGTATAATTGTCTTTCCCTGCTCCACACACCTTTGTGAAAGCATAAGAAGACTATGAGGTTATGTATGTCAAGAATTTGAGCTAAGCCACTTAGTTTTTGTTCACTGAGGTCTGGTGATTGCATGGATCACACTCAGGGGATTGCACTAGATTTTGAAAAGCCCTAAAATGTAGCAAAATCTCACTGTTACACCAGGGTGTCGCATATAGTACACGCGTCACACGTTACTTTGAGTAATTGCTAAATGATGCATTTAAAGATTTGGAAATATCCCTGAGAAAAAAAAGAATAACCTTTATAACATTTCTGTGGTCTTCCTATTTAGAAACTGAAGGAAGCACATACACCAACAAAAAACAGATTTAGCCTTTTTATGTTAAAAGACCCAAATTCACTTGATTACTGCTGGTTTGCCTGTCGGTTCATCTGTCACTTTTCTATACTTTGAACTGTTCTGTGTAAAGCGAGGCATAGGGCCGTATGCATATTTGTGGTGTGTGTGCATGATGTTTGCAGAAGCAAATGTTCCGATGTAGATCTGACTGTGATGAAATCCTGCACAAAAAATGAGTCCTTTTTATATAATCTTGAGTGGTCGTATGTGTGCGTGTGTGTCTGAGAGACAGAAAATGTATATACATGACTCATGAGCAGATGTATGTAAAGGAATAAACTTAATTAAACAAAGGTATGGACATTCTTCTCTTCAACTCATTTTTTTATTAACTGCTTCCTTGGCTGCTATTATTTGCTAGATAATAAGCGCTGACAGGCATCTTTGTAAGGTACACCTGTCCACCTGCTCTTTCATTCTAATCAGCCAATCAAATGACAGCAACTCCGTTTATTTAAGCATGAAGACGCAAGATAACCTGCTGAAGCTGAAATCGGAACATCAGAATGGGTAAGACAGTTGATTTGAGTAACATTTAACATAGCATGGATCTAGGGTTTACAGAGAGTGGTCAGACAAAGAGATCAAGTAGGCTTTAGATTTAGAAAATGTGTTAACACCAGAGGTCAGAGAAGAATGGCTTAGTGAGATTTATGACTACTTCAGTCTTCCTTGAATAGATCCAGACTACTTTGGACCATGTCTAAAATGGTCTTCATTCCACTCTCAGTGAAAAGCTTCTCAAATGGGTTGAAATCATCGGGCGTTATGCTGCTCAAGGTCAGATCAATAGTGTTTGCTCCTGGGCTGAGCGCTGGATCTGGGCAAAACCCTGCAAGAAGACATTTGTAAATAAAGTTCATTCATAAATTTGATTAATCTATGACCTTATCAAACATGGTGATTACAAAAATATAAAGAGTATAAAGATAATATTAGATTGAAGAAGTAACATTCAGTTTCTAGGTTTTCATATTATATAAAGGTTTATACCTTTTTCTGAATCCATGATAGCAGGTGGTTGTAGGTTCAGACACTCTGCCTGCTTTGTAAACTCTTCCAGCTCAGCAGCAGACACTTTAGTTCTCCTACCTGAGAGACAGAAAAAGTGTTAGCACGGCACCAAGTAAAGAGATTAAAACACAAAGAAACAACTGCTGCTGCTATTTCAGGACCTGGACCACTTGCTGCAATTGAAGGAACCATGATATTGAAGGAGAATTTGTGGCCATGAGCACATGAGCAAGGCCACGTCTGAATGGCTTTCAAAATCTGTTCATGCTTGAAAATCCAATCCAGTGCGGCTGTATTGAATGGACTCTACATAGTAGAGTTTTGAAAAATTCTTCCACAGCGATGTGAAAGACTCATTGCTAATCATTGCAAATGCTTGATTTCAGTTCTTGCTAACCAGTTATTAGGTTTAGGGACAATTTCCTTTTCACACAGTGCCATGTAAAGGAAATATTCCTTTAAGAACTGTGTTTTCTATTTGCTTGGGTTATCTTTGTCTAATCTAAAAATGTATTTGATGATCTGAAATATCTAAGTGTGACTAATATATAAAATAGAGAGAAACCAGGAAGGGTGCAAATACATTCTCACAGCACTGCACA